TTTTCCTCATTTTTCACCCGTTTTTGCCCGTTTTCACGTGTTTTTCCCCCATTTCAGCCATGCCGCTGTCGCGCAGCGTCTCGGTGTCCCCGTTTTGGTCCATTTCTCCCCATTTTCACCCATTTTTGCCCATTTTCTCCCGTTTTCGCAGCCATGCCGCTGTCGCGCAGCGTCTCGGTGTCCCCATTTTCCCCGTTTTTCCTCATTTTCACCCATTCTTGCCCATTTTCCCCCGTTTTAGCCACCATGCCGCTGTCGCGCAGTGTCTCGGTGTCCCCGTTTTCCTCATTTTTTCCCCGTTTTTGCCCATTTTCCCGTGTTTTCTCCCCATTTTAGCAGCCATGCCGCTGTCCCGCAGCGTCTCGGTGTCCCCGTTTTCCTCATTTTTCACCCATTTTTCCCCATTTTCCCATGTTTTCTCCCCATTTTAGCCGCCATGCCACTGTCGCGCAGCGTCTCGGTGTCCCCGTTTTGGTCCATTTTCCCCCTTTTTGCCCATTTTCCCATGTTTTCTCCCCATTTCAGCCATGCCGCTGTCCCGCAGCGTCTCGGTGTCCCCGTTTTCCTCATTTTTCACCCGTTTTTGCCCGTTTTCACGTGTTTTTCCCCCATTTCAGCCATGCCGCTGTCGCGCAGCGTCTCGGTGTCCCCGTTTTGGTCCATTTCTCCCCATTTTCACCCATTTTTGCCCATTTTCTCCCGTTTTCGCAGCCATGCCGCTGTCGCGCAGCGTCTCGGTGTCCCCGTTTTGGTTCATTTTCCCCCATTTTTCACCATTTTTGCCCATTTTCCCTCATTTTAGCCGCCATGCCGCTGTCCCACAGCGTCTCGGTGTCCCCGTTTTTCCTCATTTTTCACCCGTTTTTGCCCATTTTCCCGTGTTTTCTCGCCATTTTAGCCGCCATGCCGCTGTCGCGCAGCGTCTCGGTGTCCCCATTTTGGTCCATTTCTCCCCATTTTCACCCATTTTTGCCCATTTTCTCCTGTTTTCGCAGTCATGCCACTGTCGCCCAGTGTCTCCGTGTCCCTGTTTTGGTTCATTTTCACCCATTTTTGCCCATTTCCCCCCGTTTTAGCTATGCTGCTGTCGCGCAGCGTCTCAGTGTCCCCATTTCCCCTGTTTTCCCCATTTTTGCACATTTTCCTGTGTTTTCTCCCCATTTTTGCAGCCATGCCGCTGTCCCGCCGCGTGTCGGTGTCCCCGTTTTGGTTCATTTTTCCTCATTTTCCCCCATTTTTGCCCATTTTCATGTATTTTTCCCCCATTTTCGCAGTCATGTCGCTGTCCTGCAGCGTCTCGGTGTCCCTGTTTTCCTCATTTTTCCCCCATTTTTGCCCATTTTCATGTATTTTTCCCCCATTTTCGCAGCCATGCCGCTGTCCCGCAGCGTCTCGGTGTCCCCGTTTTCCTCATTTTTCCCCCATTTTTCACCATTTTCCCGTGTTTTCTCCCCATTTTCGCAGCCATGCCGCTGTCCCGCAGCGTGTCGGTGTCCCCGTTTTCCTCATTTTTCCCCCATTTTTCACCATTTTCCCGTGTTTTCTCCCCATTTTCGCAGCCATGCCGCTGTCCCGCAGCGTGTCGGTGTCCCCGTTTTCCTCATTTTTCCCCCATTTTTCACCATTTTCCCGTGTTTTCTCCCCATTTTCGCAGCCATGCCGCTGTCCCGCAGCGTGTCGGTGTCCCCGTTTTCCTCATTTTTCCCCCATTTTTCACCATTTTCCCGTGTTTTCTCCCCATTTTCGCAGCCATGCCGCTGTCCCGCAGCGTGTCGGTGTCCCCGTTTTCCTCATTTTTCCCCCATTTTTCACCATTTTCCCGTGTTTTCTCCCCATTTTCGCAGCCATGCCGCTGTCCCGCAGCGTGTCGGTGTCCCCGTTTTCCTCATTTTTCCCCCATTTTTCACCATTTTCCCGTGTTTTCTCCCCATTTTCGCAGCCATGCCGCTGTCCCGCAGCGTGTCGGTGTCCCCGTTTTCCTCATTTTTCCCCCATTTTTCACCATTTTCCCGTGTTTTCTCCCCATTTTCGCAGCCATGCCGCTGTCCCGCAGCGTGTCGGTGTCCCCGTTTTCCTCATTTTTCCCCCATTTTTCACCATTTTCCCGTGTTTTCTCCCCATTTTCGCAGCCATGCCGCTGTCCCGCAGCGTGTCGGTGTCCCCGTTTTCCTCATTTTTCCCCCATTTTTCACCATTTTCCCGTGTTTTCTCCCCATTTTCGCAGCCATGCCGCTGTCCCGCAGCGTGTCGGTGTCCCCGTTTTCCTCATTTTTCCCCCATTTTTCACCATTTTCCCGTGTTTTCTCCCCATTTTCGCAGCCATGCCGCTGTCCCGCAGCGTGTCGGTGTCCCCGTTTTCCTCATTTTTCCCCCATTTTTCACCATTTTCCCGTGTTTTCTCCCCATTTTCGCAGCCATGCCGCTGTCCCGCAGCGTCTCGGTCTCCTCCCTCCCCGGCCTCGAGGACTGGGCCGGCCCCGACGCCCTCGACAACGTCGTCCTGTTCGAGGTGGCCTGGGAGGTGGCCAACAAGGGTGAGCGGGGACAATGGGGACAGCGTGACATGGGGACACCGGGATTGGGGACACCAACATGGGGACATCGCGACGGGGACACCGGGACGGGGACAGCACAACAGGGACACCGCAGCACAGGGACAGGGACACCGCGACGGGGACACCAGGAATGGGGACACCGCGACACAGGGACACCGCGACGGGGACACCGCGACACGGAGACACCGGGACGGGGACAGGGACACCGCGACACGGGGACACCGGGATGGGGACAGCGCGACGGGGACACCAGGATGGGGACACTGCGATGGGGACACCGTGACACGGGGACACCAACACCGCGGCACAGGGACAGCGCGACAGGGACAGACATGGGGACAGGGACACCATGGGGACACCGCGATGGGGACACCGGGACGGGGCTGGGGACACCAGGACAGGGACAGCGTGATGGGGACAGCGCGACGGGGACAGGGACACCACGGGGACACCACGACGGGGACACCGGAATGGGGACACCAGGATGGGGTTGGGGACAGCGCGACGGGGATACCAGGATGGGGCTGGGGACACCGCAACAGGCACAGGGACAGCATGGGGACGGGGACACCGTGGTGGCCTTGGGTGACCATGGGTTGGGGTGACGTCACCACGGGGTTGACGTCACTGCTGTTAATGTGACGTCATTGTGGGGTTGACATGAGCTCGCCCTGATGTTGATGTCGCTGTAGGGTTGACGTCACCGTGATACTGACGTCTCCCTGATGGTGATATCATCATGGGGTGATGTGATGTCACCATGGCGTTGATGTCACCGTGGGGCTGACGTCACCACGGAAGTGATGTGACGTCACCATGGGATCAATGTCACCATGGGGTTAATGTGACGTCACCATGACGATGACATCGCCATGGGGTTGAGGGCGTTGTGATGATGACGTTGCTGTGGGGTTGATGTGACATCACCATGGGGTTGATGTCATTGTGTGGTTGATGTCATCATGATGTTGACGTCGCCTTGGGGTTGACGTGATGTCACCGTGCGGTTGACATCGCCATGTGGTTGATGTCACCGTGGGGTTGACGCCGTCACGGGGTTGACGTTGCCATGGGGTTGGTGTCACCATGGGTTTGATGCGACGTCACCATGAGATGACATCACCGTGAGGTTGATGTCGCCATGGTGTTGATGCGACATCACCATGATGTTGTCATCACCACGACGTTGATGTCTCCATGGCGTTGACGTCACTGTGAGGTTGATGTCACCATGGGGTCGATGCCACCATGACGTTGACGTCGTCATTGGGTTGATGTAACGTCGCTGTGGGGTTGACGTCGCCGTGAGGTTGACATCGCCATGGGGTCGATGCCACCATGATGTTGACGTCACCATGGGGTTGTTGTGACGTCACCGTGGGGTCGATGCCCTCATGACATTGACATCGCCATGACGTTGATGTCACCATGGGTTTGATGCCCCCATGATGTTGACGTCGCCATGGGGTCGATGCCCCCATGACGTTGATGTTGCTGTGGGGTTGGTGTGACGTCACCATGGGGTCGATGCCCCCATGGCGTTGACGTCGCCATGACGTTGACGTCGCCATGGGATTGGTGTGACGTCACCATGGGGTTGACATCGCCATGACGTTGACGTCACCATGGGGTTGGTGTGACATTGCCATGGGTTCGATGCCACCATGACGTTGTTGTTGCCATGACGCCCCCATGGGGTTGATGCCCCCATGCCGTTGACGTCACCATGGGGTTGGTGTGACGTCACCATGGGGTTGGTGTGACGTCACCATGGGGTCGATGCCCCCATGATGTTGACGTGGCCATGGGGTTGATGTGATACCACCATGATGTTGATGCGATGTCACCATGGGGTCGATGCCGCCATGATGTTGATGCCACCATGATGTTGACGTTGCCATGGGGTTGATGTGACGCCACCATGACGTCGGCGTGACGTCACCGTGCCGTTGACGTCACGCTGTCCCCGCAGTGGGCGGGATCTACACGGTGCTGCAGACCAAGGCCCGGGTGACGGCCGACGAGTGGGGCGACGGCTACTACCTGGTGGGGCCCTACGTGGAGGCCAGCGTGAGGACCCAGGTGGAGCTGCTGGGGCCGCCGAGCGCCGCCCTGC